GAGTTTAGTTTTATTTTTCATTCGTTTGCAGGATAAGACTAAATATAGATACTTACGAAATTTTATTTATTTTGTTAGTGTAGGTAGGACTTAGTTTTAGATAGGAATTGGATTGTACTTTTCATTTCAATTTTTTTTATTTAATATTAATAATAGTGATGGTGCTTGCTTATCAAGGCTTGAGGGCAATCGCTTATTAAGGAGCAAATTAGAAATTACTTTATTATGATCATTTTGTTGTTTATTTACGAAATAAAAACAAGCGTATAGATTGCCCTATTCGTTTCTTGGTTCGTTTGTCTGATTGACCGACTAACTGAATGTTTTTATTCAGATTAATGTCTTTCTAAGTCTTCGCGATAGTTTAATTAACAATTAAATCATCTTCACATATAATAGCAAAAGTACTGATTCCACGCGAACAAAGTCGCCGGCACAGCTAGTATTAAATAAATGTTGTGTAAATTGATTTCTGTGATTAGTTTTGCATGTATGAATTTATCATTATAGATTATAATAATAATTGTAAAATGATATAGGTTTTTTTTCGTAATATGCAATATTTCATAACTGTACTATTTCAATCTTATATGTACTTTTATAGTCATCAGCCTAAAAATCCACTATTCCATTAAAGACTTCTATGAAAGTCAATTAGGCTTAGGTAATGACAAGGTATTAAATATATACAAGTATACAGGGGAACCTACGAATTTTTCCCGCCATTTCTTTGTTATTCATAGTCTGCTGTGTAAGTACACAGATTACAAACTGTGGTAACGTAGGAGAGGCGAATGAAGGAAACATGTTGTTGGTACGAAAACTTTAATTATACTGCCTCTTTATTGTACACTACACTTTACACCGACAAAAAAATTAAAAAAAGAAATTAATACATTTGTTTTTTTAACTTATAAAATTAAATATAAAACTTAAGTCAAATAAAAATATAAGTTACAAAAGTCAAAGTAGGTACTTATATTCTATGGGTAGGTCGGGTACAAAAAATATAAAAAAGAAATGAATACATTTTTTTAAACTTACAGTAATAAATATAAACGTTATGTTTATTATGAATTTAAATTACAAAAATGCAATTTTATTATCAATTATTTTCTAAAAGTAAATTACAAAAATATAATAGGTAGTATAATAATGTCTTCCAGACCGAATTTCGATCACGGCGGCCAGCCTCAACGGAGACTAGCCATCGGCGCAGGACGGGACTATAGTGCCCAAGTGTGCATGCGCAAGCACAGGTGCACTCTCTATTCCCTCACTCTCGTAATCCGATGGGACGATAAACCGACACGACCGAGATCAGGCGCAAGACCAACAGCTTTACGTGCTTTCCGAGACACGGGGGGTGAGACACCGCCAACTTCCTGACTCCGGGCAGCTACTGTGAATTTCTTGACAGAAAAACTCAATAATTGATATTTTGGCCCGACCCGGGATTCGAACCCAGGACCTCATGATCAGCAGTCACACTACTACAACCACTAGACCAATGAGGCAGTCAATAGGTAGTATATAGTAGTATAGATAGGTAGTATATTCAATAGGCAGGACGGGTGGCCAGATCCCCCGGCCCATATTAATGTCGAGGTTAAAGTCAGACATAGTTTCGCCACAATTTATTAATGATAAACGTCTACATATGTTAATAATTTCTAATAATTTAATATATTAGTAAATACTTTCTAATATTTTTTTTTTCACAATAAAATTGTAGTACATTTTAACTCAGTCAATTAGGTATTATATATTATTCACTTAAATCATTTTGTCATTACATGACTTTCCTAGTGCGATCAATAATAATACTCTTGTAGCGGCGCTGTCGTCGCGCCACAAGCGAAATACACCGAAGCTTAAATCACGCTATCAACATTCCGAATCATAAACAGCATATATAGAACATCTCCGAACTATCATACGGAGTGTCGGCCGCCCCCCGGGCAGAACACCTTGCTCGGCGGGAGATCTCCCCTTTTCCTTCACGGCCACAATGGTGACTATCCAAAGTGATCTGAACACGCAACCAAAAACAACCTTCGGAAACTTCAAGCTTCATCATCGTCCCAGAATGTCCCACCCATTCGCTCCCGAGCACATATCGTCTGCAGTCTACATATCCTGCAAGCCATCTAGCTTCACAAGGTTCATCGCAGCACTGGAATAATAATGCTTCCTGTTCCTTCAAGCTACTCTCTGCGCCATACAGTGTTCGGCACGGCTCTGAGCCTTACTGCTCGCCTCTGCTTCACGGCACTCTCGCAGATTACTTGCCTTCTTCTCGACTCACCGCAGACTACAAGGCAATCTCCTGGCAATTGCACATTCGTCGACAACTCGACTGCACTATCGACCTCCGGTCTGAGCAGGGGGTGATGTAGCGGCGCTGTCGTCGCGCCACAAGCGAAATACACCGAAGCTTAAATCACGCTATCAACATTCCGAATCATAAACAGCATATATAGAACATCTCCGAACTATCACAAGGAGTGTCGGCCGCTCCCCAGGCAGAACACCTTGCCTGGCGGGAGATCTCCCCTTTTCCTTCCTCACCGGATATTCATATATTGTTTTCTCATTAGAATATTTAATTGCACTTCTTATATTTACTTTATTCTTAGTTAAAACATTACTTATGTTCTACTTTACTCCAAAGCCATTTGCTATCTATTAAATATTTATGTCATTTCTCAACGATCAAGAAAATGACCAATATCATTTAATACATACATAATCAAGATAATGGGCAATAGTCCTTTCTCAATTCATAATAAATTTTTAGAAATTCCCTCATTAACAATACATTAAAGCTTATTCCGCATTTAATCGTGTCCGTACAACCTTAAAAAATTAATCGGTTATTTGGTTTTGCGAACTCTCAGCAGATCAGGCTGATTGTATGTGGATATGCTAACCTCCGACAATTTTCTTTACCTATATCACGAACCTTACGCACTGTCAACACTTTTTATTCATAATTATGTATTCTCTTATCCATAAATTTTACTCACGTCTTTTACAAATTTACATCATACAGTCTCGTAAAATATTTAGTTACATCATTGTCAGTCAGGGATTGTGGCTTAAAATATGGGCACAACAAAATTATTATCAAACAAATCATTTATTATTATGTAATGAGTTTCAAGATCGTTTAAAGCAAAGAAAATATTTTCATAATCCACATGAGTAAGTACTATTTTCCGAAAAAATTATAAATTATAATAGATAAAAGCTTGAGTTTTAAAAGTTCGGACTATCGGACATTACAAAACCGAAAATAATTTTTTTCCTAGTTTGGCAACTTCCAATGGATTCTGACAGCGTCTTATTACATTTCATATTAAAATAACGGAACAAAAAAGTCAATGTTAAACAACGTAATCATTATCTTTGACATAGCAACACAGATCAAAATACAAATTGTAATCCTAGCAACGAAAGCAATTAGAGAGGAAAGTTCGCTAAGAAGAGGTACCGAAGGCTGATAGCAGCTGAGATAGGAGCCGAAGAGGCCCTCTTTCTCTGCAGAAGCCCTGGGACGAAATTCCTCTGCCAAACCTCCCCCAGTTCCGAAGGCGAAAAAACGCAGTCGGTCTGAGGAAGAGTCCCCCAAAGAACAGCCCAGGAAGTCTATGAAGCTGGCAAAGGGGGAGAAGAAGCTCAGCTTCAGTGCCTAGCTGGCTCCGCGCGTATAGGAATTCGCAATTTCATATTCGAATCCTTTGAGTGTGGAGCAGATGCGGCTGGCCCACCGGGCACTAACGCCGGCCATCGCTAAGACGTCCTGTGGGACGCAGGCGGGAATGGGACCAAAATTTTCGGGTTTCACTCACAAGCCAGGTTGGATTCTGGTAACGTGCCTGAATAAGGCAAACCAGGACTGGATTGTAGGTGACATCAGAAAACTGAAACGTTGGCCGGAGGCAGAGCTCTCGATAATACTCGAGGACGAACTGCCTACGCCTCCTCAGCTGGGCATTACCTAATTGCCCCGCAGCGAAACTGACTCTCCAGAAGAGGCGGCTGTGCTGCTGAGGGCACAAAATGAGGGGCTCGATACCGAGCTCTGGAGAATCCTAAACCTTAGAGACGAGGAGAATTATTATAGATCAAACTCTCTAAAAAACCGACCGAATTTGACTTATTAAATGAGTATGATAATATTTTCGGATTTTTAGTGACATATTCAAATTAAGTAACAGCGATATTTTAAAACATTGTTCTGTTCTTGAAGAACGACTGACAGACCAGGATAATAAGGACTCCAATGATTTGTTTAGTGAAATTAAAGCGTTAAAGTTGTTTTATTACCTGATGATACTGACCTCTTAAGTATTTTACAATATGTATTTGAAAACATTTTAATCTACACCTTTCCAAACGTAAGCATTTCACTAAGAATTCTTCGGACATTACCTGTATCTGTAGCTTCTGGCGAGCGATCTTTTTCAAAGTTAAAAATCAAAGACAATGCTTCAAGAAAGATTGTCTGGGCTAGCGATATTAACAGTTGAACAAGAAATTTTTGATGGTATAAATTTTAGAGATGTAATTAATGACTTTGCAGTAGCAAAGTCACGGTAAATATCGCTGCTACAATAGTTATTTTTGTTGTTTTGTTGTTGGGGAGTGACGTTGCGGATGTCAGTGCTACTAGAAGTACGCAAAGCTTGTCGCGAAATAAAAATTAATATCTACGTCTAAAGTTGTGATATCGATGTTTTGAAACATTTTTTCTAGACTTTAAAAACTGGTGCATATGTTAATAAATTAATCATTTGTGTGTGGTTAAGGATTGTGGTGAAAGAAAATTGAAATAAACATCTAAAAGTGAAATATAAGAGGTACCTTTATTAATAACTTTAATGTACTTTGTCTATTTACCCTCGAATTACAAAGTGTCAATTACAATATAAAGTCGGCGACACCTAGTGATAATCATCTGCATCATTACATTGCAATTAACTTAAACTAACGCGATGAAGTGCAGTGCGTGCGGTAAGTTTATGGCGGCGGCAGAGGGCGTTACGTGTCCTAAATGCGATAGAAAATCACACAGGGCCTGCGTCAAAGTTCCTGAAGGTGTGCAGGTCCAACCTACTTGGTTGTGTCCGGACTGTAAAATACGGACGCCCCGAAAGTCAGATCAGAATACGCCTGTGCGAGGACTTAATTCCGAGAATATTATCAAGCAAGACGAAGAGAAACCCCAAAGCCCTGTGGCGCAAGGTCTCAAAGAGTCGGAGCTAGCTCTTGAACTACGTAAATTTAGAGAAGAACTGCGAGAAACCAGGGAAGAATTTAGATCTTTCCGACAGGAGATGTTTGATTTGCGTAATTCCATAAAATCGTGTGAAGAACGCCTAGATACATTAGAAAACAAATACATCCGTCTTGAAGAACAACAAACCCTAATTGAGTCCAAAAATGTCTGCGGCAAAATTCAGGATCTCGAGAGGATTATTGCGGACTTAAGAGCAGATTTAAATGATCGAGACCAAGAGCTGCTGTACAATGATATCGAAGTCGCAGGCATTCCAGAAGAGGGCGCAGAAAATGTTCTACACATTGTGACTGCGTGCGCTACTAAGCTGGGCGTAACCCTAGAAGAGCGCGATATAGTGAGTTGTGTGCGAGGCGGTCTTATGCGCGACGAGCAAAGTAGGCTAGCAAAGCCCCGTCCCATAGTCGTGCGGCTGGCGCGAAAGCACACGCGGGACACTCTGCTGCGGGCCGCGCGCGTGCGCCGCTCCTTAACTACCGAAGGTCTGGGTCTCCGCTCCGAAAATACACGAGCCTTCTATATAAACGAACGGCTTACTAAGTTGAACCGCAATGTATTTTTTAGAACTAAGGAATTCGCTCGGCGATTTGATTGGCGCTACGTATGGTCGAAAGAGGGAAAAATTTATACTCGTCGAGAACACGGAACAACGTCTTATCGCATAAAAAGTGAAATAGATCTCGAGAGGGTTTTTGGAACAAATTCAGTTGGGGCTATCGGAAGCAATGGAAAAAAAATATAAAAGTCATAATTACCTGAATTTTTTTTTAAATTTTATCTTGTTCTGCTATTGCTCATTTTTATGTAAGTCGTTAATAATTGTGTTTGTATTTTTATTTAAGAACTATTTTTGGGTTCTATTTCTGTCAAATGAAATATACTATGTCTATACTCGTATGTGGAATAATAATATATCCTGGTTAGTTCCGGCACAAATTTCTAACATCAATGTATTGAAAAGACTCACTAGCGTTTTGTCTTTAAGTTCTGCAATACATACATACAATAATTACTATACGAGTACATTAAGGTACAAGAAAATTTACTCAATGGATAACTATTTAAAAATTTGTGATATCCCCATAAATATTATTTATTCTATCAAATCACATAAAATTAATTTTGTCTGTACAAGAAGCAAACTAAAGTTAAATTTTGCGTCGGAACCTATTATGTCAAATAAATATGTATATCTAAAATTCGTTTATGGCTTCTAAAAGTAACGTAAAAGTTGGTCTTTTAAATGCAGGGTCCCTTGGAACGCGGCACGATGAATTTATTGTCGCAATGCAACGGCATAGTGTCGATATCATGGCCATCAATGAGACGTGGCTGCGGGAGGGCGAAGAGGGGCGCGGGGCCGCGGTGCCCGGCTACCGGCTGCGGCACGCGCCGCGTCCGCCCGATGTGCGCTCGCGCGGCGGCGGCGTCGGCTTCTATGTGAAGCGAGGCGTCGGCGTCCGCGAGCTGCCCCACCCCCCCCCGGCCCCGCTAGTAGAACAAATGTGGATCTCGACCTCTAGCGGCGGAAAGCAACTCGTTATCGGTACCGCGTACAGACCGCCGTGGTTGAATGTAGATACATTCATAGACGCGCTTACCGTTACTATGGGGACTTTTTCATGGAGCCAAAACTTACTTCTTCTCGGTGATTTTAATATTAATATGTTAAATATGACGCATAATACCACTATAAAGCTAAATAATTTTCTTACTTGCTTCAAATTGAAACAGCATGTAACTAAGCCAACCCACTTTACGGAATATAGCGAGACTTTAATTGACGTAATATGTACCGACATAAATGTAAACGCAGTTACTGTAGAACTTATACGTGAATTAAGTAGTCATGCTTTTATTACATGTCAAATTGATATGAGTAAAAAAAAGCCGGCACCAGTTACAATAATGAGTAGGAGAATTTCTGACATAGACGAGGGAGACTTTCATAAGGACCTTACATCAATAAATTGGAAAGAAATTGAGAGTATCGCGGATGTAAATAATCAGGTAGTGCTATTTAACACAGCCATACTTACCCTATTTGAAATTCACGCGCCTCTTAGAAAAAAAATTATTAAACATCAGCAATTCCCGTGGCTAACCTTTAATATAAAATTGATGATGAAAAAACGAGATGACGCATACATTAAAATGAGAAAAAGTAAAAACGACATACATATTAAATACTATAAAGATCTAAAAATCTACGTCAATAACGCAATATATAGAGAAAAACAAGCCTACTATAATTTTAATGTTAATCGTAATATAAATAATCCTATTTCAATGTGGAAACATATAAAGTCCAATGTTAAGATAAAACCAAAACACAATATCCCGATAGACTTGTTTAATGATCCAAATAAAATAAACGACTATTTTTTAAACGTGCCTGGAAATAGAAACGTCTCGTTGTCATATTTAACGTACTTTGAGTTCCACTGCTGCGTTAATGACATATTTGAGATAAAGGAGGTAGATGAACTAGAGGTACTAAAATTCATTAAAAGTTTAAAATCTAAAGCCATAGGCATTGATGGGATTTCTCTCGATATGATCCGTATGACCCTCCCGGAAACACTATCAACTATTACTGCTATGGTGAACAAATCCATTAACTCTAAAACCTATCCGACATTATGGCAACATGCGTTAGTCAAACCCATACCTAAGAACTCAAATCCATTGTCTGAAAAAGACCTTCGGCCCATCAGTATTCTCCCCTGTGTCTCTAAAATTATTGAAAAAATTGTCGCAGAACAGCTAAACATGTATTTAGATAGAAAAAAAAATTCTACCGGAAATGCAGTCGGGATTTCGTAAGAACCATAGCACCACGACGGCCCTAGCCCAACTTACTGACGATGTACTAACCGCTCAAGATGAAGGAAAAGGCACAATACTAGTATTACTAGATTTTTCTCGTGCATTTGACTGTATAAATGTTTCCCTTCTCTTATCAAAGCTTCATTACTATGGATTCAGTAGCAGCGCAGTACAATGGTTCGATAGTTATTTTAAAAACCGACTACAAACTGTAGAACTGAGCGATGACCGAGGAACATTAATACGTTCGCAATCAAAAAAAATCAAAGCCGGTGCGCCCCAGGGATCGAACCTGGCTCCAATATTGTTTTCAATTTACAGTGCCGACTTAGTAAAAAACATTAAGCACTGTAAATTTCATTTATACGCAGATGATTTGCAAGTCTACATGTCATGTAATCCGCGTGATACTCAAGAAGTCGTTAATAAAATCAACGAAGACCTCGAAAGTATAGCCGCGTGGTGCGACTCAAACTGCCTTGTACTAAACGGAACTAAATCTAAACTACTAATTATGGGTTCTAAAAATCAAATAAAAAATTTATCAGAAAGAGGGGCATGCATCCAAATTCGAGGGGAAATCGTAGAACGTGTAAATGAGATTCGCAATCTGGGCTTACTAATGGATGACAAACTACAGTTTGAGAACCACATACTAAGTACTAGCAGAAACTGCTTTTATAGGCTTAAAGTTCTTTATCAAATAAGGGAGTTTTTAAATTCGGATATTCGGGTAAAATTGTGTGACACACTTGTCCTTTCGAAATTTAATTATATGGACATTGTATATGGCCCGAGACTTTTAGCGCGGTCGCGACGTCTAGTGCAACGTGTTCAAAATGCATGTGCAAGATTTAGTTTTACAATACCGCCCCGCACGCACGTCACACCTTACATTAACAATGCCAAAATGTTAAAAATGGAATATCGCCGAAAACTGCACATGGCAACTCTCCTATTCGGGGTATTAAAAAATAAAACACCTCCTTATCTTGCTGACAAACTCATATGGTCACATGATGTAAAAACTTATAATACGCGCATCAGAGGGAATACTCTCGTCGTGCCTCGTCACCGCACTCACGCTTTCCGAGGAAGTTTCAAATACGCCGCCTCCAAGTGCTGGAACGATATACCGCCTCCTTTGCGAAATCTGAAAGCAGTACACACATTTAAAAATAAATATAGAACACAATTACTGCAAAGTCAGATTGACTTTGATCAAAGTTTATAACGCTTTGCACGATTACGTACCTCATCGTCGTAGATTATTAACAACGGAGCATTAAAAATCGTCCTCTTGAATGCGGCGTTTGTCTTCTTATATACTTTTATATTCTTCAATAATTACATAGTGTAGTATATAGCCCTATATAGTATTTTAATAATCTCCCCTTTTGTAGTGTTCGTATAGACCTTCTAAGAGCATCTGAAAGCAACATAAACGGGACGTGCTGTGTCGAAGTGGCATTCGACCTTGAACGCTACTCTCTCCCTCTCACTTAAAATAGTTACTGTCTCTTTCCCCCCTTGTTGTGCATAATTCTGTTTAAAACATAATAAAATGAGTATACATATAGCACTGATTTCGGTAAGTCACTGGTTGGACACACTGAAAATCAGCGCCTTGGAAAAAAAAATTCATGGCATTATGCTGAGTGTGCTCCTGTTCCCAGATGACGCCTTGACACATACTAGTATAGGTATTGTATAGTTTGTAATATGTAGTATATTGTAATTTGTATTGTATAGCCAATATTATTTGTAAATTATGTGTTTTTTTTTATGTTATTTGTGATGGCGTCATTTTGGAGAATAAACCTTTCTTTCTTTCTTTCTTTCTTTCTTTCTTTCTTTCTTTCTATTTTGTATTTTTCTATTGTACCTAGCTATCGTTTTTGATTTTATAACGAAGTTACCTAGGTATTTTTTATCAGAAGTTTCTGCATAGCATTCCTAAAATAGATGTGATTTTTAGTTTTGGGTTATTTTCTAGTATTTATAAACAACGTGTCTGTACCCCTTTAGTTAAATAAATGTTTTAAAATGGATGTGAACAAGAATTTATTTTGTTATGATTTTATTCTGTTTGTTTCATTTTGATATTTTAGTCTACAAATAAATATGAGTTCTAAAGTTCAGTTTTTTGCTTTATTTCAAGCACCTTCAAAAAAATAAATAACCAAACATCATCCAAAATGATTAAAACTACTTTTACGGA